CTCACCGCGTAATGTAGGGTTCGAGTGTCGACGGATGCCCTGAACGTCTATGGCCCCTATTATTCATGTGACGACACATAGATGAGTTAGAATTAAGGTGTTTCATGACTAAACATGATGGGAAAACACCCTTAGGGCTTGGATTTACTAAGAATAAGTACCCTAGGATCCAGGCTTAAGATTTATGCAAGTTTAGGGCCAAATGTGGGCATTAAAGTGAGTGTATGGCCTTGAAAATGAGTGTGCGGCCGTACAGAGGGTGTGTGCGGCCGTACACAGGAGTGTGCGGCCGTACACTCCTCATTTGAGTCCATTTGATGACTTTTGAAGTGTTTGCTCTTCATACTTAGGAGGCTTGAAGGTATGTTGCCCCATATGAAGGTGTGCGGCCGTACACCTTCAAGGGATGATGAACATGATGAATATGATAAGTTTTAAGCTTGGAGTTCAAGTGTTTACCACTATACTTAGCTTGAAGATGGAGTATATCACAATTTGGAAGCTTTCCAAGTGTTCTTGGTTGATGATTTTAGAGAGAGAAAGTAGAGAGAGAAGAGAAACATCCAAATGAATGAATGAAGGGGTATCCATCCATATAAGGGTTTGAGTGTGAGGTTGAGTGTGTGTGCGGTTGGGTGTGCGGCCGCACACACCTTATTTGGTGTGTTTGGTCCGATTTTGTGATAATTAAGCACTTTCCAACCCTTCATAGAGTTTATATCCAGGTTATACTAAGTCTAGAGCACTCAAATGGAACCACAAGATGTAACAAAAGATAATGAACTCGAGTTTTAGTGCTGAACACAGATCAATTACATGGCTAGAAGTTTCGGGTTGTCAAATACATTTTATCCCGTTGTATTGACTGTCCTACATGTGATAGGTGATGGTCCGCATTCTTTGTGTTGACTGTCCTTTTTCATCACGTAGAATGCCCGCAATTGCCATGTTGATTCTTTCTCCTAAAAAGTTTAGAGTCGAATTATTGGTATTTTACAAATTAAAAAGCGTAGGACTCTATGGGAAACGTTTGTAAACGATTTTGAAAACGATAAACTAACTTACACACACACACATCTATATATATATATATATATATATATATATATATATATATATATATATATATATATATATATAGTTGGCACTAGAATTTCGAATATTTTACAGCGGAAAATATTGGATTTTTAGGAGAAAAAGATTTTTCTAAGAGTTCGATAATGATAAACTAGAACGCACACTCAATTTTACTCGATAAGAGGAACAAGATTTTCAACCATATTTTCCTTTCGAAAATTAGGGATTTTTATTGAAATGGTTGACTATTACTATTCAAAAGAACCATTCTCATACACCGCTTGCTTTTATAAATCACACTACTTTTCAAAATCACTTCTTATAAGGATGAACAAAAGTGATGACATACACACATATATCCATGATTTTCAAAGCAAAACGTTAAACGATTTCATAGAAAATATCGGTTTTTCTGAAAGTACAATGAGAGCAATTCTAAACAAGTGTAAACGATTTTATACAAAAATGCTTATGAACTCACCAACTTTTTAGTTGACACTTTTCAAAACAACTTGTACTCTTAGGGATCTAGTAAGCAAGTAACAAGGGACGCTGATGCAAGACCATTTAGCTGTAGTTTGGATTCTTTTATATTTATGTATCTTTTGTGTAACTTGAAGAACAGATACAATATGTAAACCATGTAAGTTTGTTATCTTAATGTATGATGTTTGGTTTGTTATGTTTCATTTATATTCAAATGTTATAATACTGCACAATTTGTTCATCCGCCTCCGGACGTTTCCGCCGCCTGGTCCGGGGGTGTGACAATTTTTTGTGTTAGAGTATTGTTAAAATCATTAGAATATTTAGCAAACAGACACCATTGATGTTTAATGAATTTTTTTTTTCTAAATATTGGAATAATTGCACACTGTGAACAAGTAGTTCTCGGGGGTTAGTGACAATTTTTGTCCCTTCTCAAACACCATTTTAACAGAAGGAAAGCTCTTCACGAGGTGTGAAACTTCACTGGAATAACATTATAACATATTAACACTCAACTTTACTTCCTATTTATATACTTGAATACGATACAATTACCGAAATACCTTCCAGCACCAGAAAAGCAATGGGAAATTAGATCATATGTTTTGTGTGCATTAAAAAAAATTAATTGCATTTTAATTTTTGAATCTTTTGTTCAGGTATGTTACACTTGGTAAAATTTCCACATGCTATTTGCTCTATAAAGATGTGAACAGGAATCCACTATAATCATGTGTGGAATACAATGTAGATGGAGTTTAATTACTTTAGAATCTGATGGTTTATTGGAGTTGAAAGCTTAGGTTATCCAAGTGAAGTTGTACACAGGTTCGGTTGTACCAATAAACTATTATGTAAGTGGATTTCTATCTTATTTCATTTGTTAAATGAATCATGAGTCGATGTGACTCCAAAGTTCCCCATATTCATGTTATTTACGATATACTTAAAAGAATCATATTCTATTTTGTTACAACAATGAAAGTTTTTGAGGATAATGAAGTGATATATTTGAATCTTGCTAATCATTCTCACATATCTATGCTGGTTATTTTGTATTTTTTAGGGCCAAAATTATGAATGTGTGAATGTATAAATCAACAATTTGAACCCATCAAATGATGATTAGATTGGAGTTTTCTCCCCTTCCAATTTCAAGTTCTTATCATTTGTATTTTCTACTTTTGTCAATTTGTTTATTATATTTATAGCATCCTACTTCCATTTGTTAATTAATTAATAAAAAATGCATTGCTATAATTACATATATTTCTTAAAGTATAATAATTTTGAGAACATATTTTTTTGTCCGACCTTTTTAGGTGGGACAAAAAGCTGCAATTTTTATCCATCTTGAAATAAAAAATAGACCTAATAGTCTATTGTTTTCAGCATTCAACCTGCTTCCCTGAAAACTCAAGAGTCAGCCCTCCGTATTTATGCACTGCACCTATTAAGGTTTGTTCTTTTATTTATGACATGGGTCCTTGATAGTTTTTGGATGTGCATTTTAAAATTAGTAATCATTTACTAAAAGATAGGGATAGTTAGGAAACTTTACATATATCTCAATAATTAGTTATCTAGCAACAACTCGTTACATTATTATCCAAGATTAATTATTTTCTAATATATAATATTCATTGTATTAATTTGGATGTGATTCATATATTTTATGTGAATTACAAGTGATTCACATGTAGATCACATGTGATTCACATGTAGATCATATGTGATTCACATGTAAATCGCATGTGATTCACATATTATTCACATGTAAATCATATATGAATGATATGTGATTCACATGCAAATCACAAGTGACTTACATATGAATTACGTACATATGCACACATTCATATGTTAATCACATGAAAATTACATGTAATTCACATATTAATCACATTTGATTCAGATGTAAATCACATTTGATTCACATGTAATTCCCATTTGATTTACATATAATTCACATGTGATTCACATGTAAATCACATGTGATTCACATATAAATCATATGTGATTCATGTGTAAATCACATATGATTTACATGTGATTCATATGTTAATCATATCCGATTCACATGTGAATCACATTTACATATGATGTCATATGTAAATGTGATTCATATGGAATCGCATGTGATTCATATGTGAATCGCCTGTGATTTATATGTTAATCACATGAAAATCACATATGTATTTTTGTGAGTATTTTTACACCAATCATTTTTTTTTAATTTTCTTGTAGATTTGGAAGAAATTGTGGTGAATATGGAAGATGTGAAAAATGATAAATCGAAGAATATAAGGAAATATTGACACGAAGACGTGAAAATGATTTGAAATTTGTAGCATTTTTTATTTTTTACATTTTATTTTGTATCGAATAAAATACTTGTACTATTATGTTTATAGATTAATTAATAAAAATGAGATTTTTTGTGATTTACTTACGAATACTATAGTATAATAAATATACATATATGCACCTAAAAATTTACTATTTTTTTTTAAAAAAATGTAGTTTTTTTTTTTAAATTCAGTTTTTTTTTTTTTTTTTTTTTTGAGAATGTAATTTTTTTAAAAAACTTGAAGATTTTTTTATTTGAAAAAATTGCTGTTTTTTTTTTTAAATGCAGTTTTCTTTAAAATAATTGCAGTATTTTCAAAAAAAATGCAGTTTTTTTTTTTAATTACAATTTTTTTGAAAAAATGTAGTTTTTTGAAAAAAAAAAAATACAGGTTTCAAAAAAAATATTTTTTTCAATATTTTTTTCAATTTTTTTTTCAAAAGTCAATGTTTTCTATAAAAAATTAAAAGAATCTTCATTTTCTTAAAAAAAAAAAAACAAAAATGCTATATTTAAAAAAAACTGAAAATTTGATTTATAATGTAAAGTTTTAGACATTTATATTAATATATTAAATAACACAAAAAACATTAAATAAGATTGGTAAGATGACAATCATATCCTTAATAAATTAGTTTTGATCTAACGCTCCACTTTTAGTTTCCAGTGTATGGGAAACTATAAGTTTTCAACAGATCTTACCTCTATATATATATATATATATATATATATATATATATATATATATATGGGTCAGATATTTTGCGAGTTTTTCAAGTAACATCAAATAATTGGTATTTGTGCTTGCAAAGCCCGGAAGAAATGTGACCAATAAGAATCCTGCCCCATTTGATCAGGTTATTGAAATTCGACGCCTTGTATATTATTTGTCATTGGCTCTCACGTTTCAAGCCAAATCTGGTTGCTTAATAGTATATTTACACAGATAGTGTCAAATTTACAGTTAAATTTTAATTTATGTATATTATAAATAAAAAAAATAAGAGCAAATTTCAAAACAAACTTTACCTTATTTTTACATGAGAATTATTATATCTTTAATACGATAAGAATAATAAGTTGTTTTGCATTCAAGGTATAAGAATGAGGATTAAAAAAGATTTTCTATATAATATTTGCATTCTTTTTATATATATGATTTTGATTTTTTTTTTTTACTCGTGGAAAATGAGTAAAGTAGAAAAGAAATAAAAAAAGTAAATAATTCCAAAATTTGTTTATTCCTTCATGCTTTCTCTCTGAAAAGAGAAGCTAATCCGGTGACCACTAATTTACTTCCTCTCTCCAAATTCCTCGGTTTTATCGCCGGTGGCTGCCATATTCCCGCCGCCGACGATTCAAAACCGTCATCGGACTTTCTCACCAAAGTACCCGCCGGAGATAATTGATTTTTCTCCGTTGACTCCGACGCCGTCGTTTCTTCTCCAAAAATAAGTTCAAAAACTCCGCACTCGGAATCGAACGGCGGTGACGGATCTATCTGTTCCGTTGTGGCTTTTGAAAATATCTGCTTCACGGCGGCGTTGGCGTCTGGTGTTGGAGGTGGAGTTGGTGGAGGTGGAGGTATTACTGACGGCGACGGTGATGGTACGGTTCTGATGTGTGCCGACAGCCATTTGGATCTCATGTACTCGAATTTCCTCCATGGAGGAATGTGCATTCCTTTCTTCTTCAAGCTCAGTTTCGCCGCCTCAGATACAATCGACAGAATCTGTTGCAGACGATCGGCTTCGCCGACGAAGATGTACGGCAGTGATTGAAGGATTGCTTTGTAGTTCCCGGTCGGCCGAGCTATCTCGAACTCCGATCTAAAATCTATATCAATTAACACCCTATCTCCGCCGTCGTCGATGACATCTAAGTATTCGTATTCACCTGTTTGACAAAACAAATGGAAATTCAATCACAATTCACAAACAAAAGTCAAACGATTAAACAAATTGAATCGAGTAAGATAGAGAGAGATGATTACCAGCAGGATAAGAAGATGATTTTTCCCAACGCGATTTACAAATCGAAGCATCGTAGCCGATTAACAGTAATCCTTCAGCAACAATTTTCTTCAATTCATCTTTCCTCTTGCAAATCTTGTTCTTCTCAACAATCTTCGAGGTATCGGCTAAGAGATTTCTCTGAGCAACACTCGCGCATGGCGTCAAGCTCTACAGAATCACAACCAAATTTCTATTAAATAAACGAAATCTTACACGAAAAAAGAAAACAGTGAAGCGTGTCGTAGTTTACCTTGAGTGTTTCGGAAGAATCTCCACACCAGGAGCTAGGGTGTGAATCACCAAAAAATGAAGCAGAAGAGAGATCGAATTCGTCATCGGAACTGTCGTTGATGTTTCCGTTGAAACAATTGCAACGATTGCGTCCGCATTTCGGCTTCTCAGGAGCGGTGTCTTCGATGAAATTCTGAACCATTTTAGCCAAACAAACAGAGCTCGGTTCGAATTCTCCATCTTTGACTTCCCCGGCTCCGTTTGTCTTCTCCGAATTGTTCTTCAGAACGCTCGGGAATTGTCGATCGAAAAGCCTCTTCAGCCGAGACTTTAACACCGGCTTTGTCGTCACCGTCGCCGGAGCCTCCCAATTAACTGAATCTCCATAACTCTGATTATCGATCGGCTGAATCTTCATCTGGAAATGCATAGCTATTTACTAAACTATGGATTACTCTGCCTTAATAATACCGTCAGTTCCTTCTCTTCTCACAGAAAGAGACTAAGAGAGAGAGATATATCGCTCGTACAAACTCTTGTTAAAATTAAAATCAGAACTGGTTCTTTCGTACCAAAAATTCACTAAATGCCTACAGAAAACCCTCAGTTTTTTTACAGAAATTATACACGATCGGTGCAGCGAGTACCAGTGCAATCAATGCATCAGAATAATAACTACGTTACGTGATTACTTCTCCGGATCAGGAAATCAGTGTGAAAGAAACAAAATCGATACCTTTCCTCTCGGTGTTATCGATAAGAAACGGATAACTTCCAAAATGTGAAAGAGAAAACTTGTTCTAGTGTTTTTCATGGAGAATGTGACGGCGATGAACAGGAACCCTTGCATTAGGAAGGCGTTTGGATGAGTAGAACTCGGTTGCCGGAATATTCATTTTCCGGCGAGGTTGTTGTCGCCGACGTTAATGGTGGTAAAAAAAAGGTTGCTTGTTTTTTTGTATTTGGGTGAGTGAAAATTATGGAGTCAGTTGAGAGGTTTTTATACAGGAGTGGTGGATTAGGGAGGTGTGCTGACGTGGATAATAAGACAGATGGGTGCTGACATGGTCTGATTTATCCAATAATTTGAGAGTGGGTCACGTGCTGTGTGGGCATTACACCTACGTGGCTTTGTGGATGTTTAGTTTCGGTACGCTTGGACACCTGTATCGTTATCATTGGTTGATTAAAGCATAATAACCTTATTGCAAGTTGCATAATCTATTTAATTTTTAAAATCATTTCTAATCCACTTTCATTTTATATTATTTTCTTCTTTTTCTTTCTGATCCTAATTAATTTATTTTTATTTTAGAAGAAATAAATAGTATAACACCAAATAAATAGTGTAACACTATATATGGTGTTATACGAATTATTTTTCCTCAAAATATGGATAAATTTTGAATTGTTTGTTTTACTCTATTGTTTTATATATTTGTATATTTTTGGTTTTTTAACTACTAATTATTACTTTAATGTAATATTTAATACTTATAATATTGTGTTATATATTAAGTTATATTAACTAATTATAAATATAAAGTTTTATTTGTTTAACAAAAATCATATTAAAATTTAAATACATATTGAAATTGTAAAACACAATAATATATTTTACAAAAGCTTATAATTATATATTATAAATATAATCTTATTTATTTAAAATTATTGTAATAAAAAAATATAGATTATATATATTTGTTAAAACCAAATTAATAGGGGTGTGTTTGATACTTTATATAAGTTAGAAAATTAAAATATATTTTTTGGGAATAAAATGATGTAAAAAATAGAGTAGGATTGGAAATGAAATATTTTTCACTTTCGAGAATGAACGTCGAATCCATTGAAGGCAAAGGCATGATTTGCAAAGAAATATAATCTCGAAGATGTGTAGGGTTTAAGTTTTGTTATGTTTTTCCTATGTGATGTTTTAAGTCGGTTATGTTTCAAATGGCTAGTTTTTCATTCAATTTTAGTTGTTTATATATATATATATATATATATATATATATATATATATATATATATATATATATATATATATATATATATATATATATATATATATATATATATATATCAATTAACATAGCCCTCCTAAATAGCAAGTTCACATATTATGTGGCAAAGTTATGTGACACGCACGGGGCAATGCAATAAATATGATATGATTTCATCCAGTCTAAATGGTTTTAATGGTGGTAGGTAGAGGTGCAAATGAGTCGAGTCGAGTTCGAATATACCCAAGCTTACCTCAAGCTCGTTTATATTCATTTGGGCTTGAGCTCAAGTTTAGCTTGTTTCGAGCCTAGTTTCAAAGCTCGTGCTCAGATTGTGGACAAAATAACATACTTGAGCTCGACTCAGCTCGGGCTCGTTTTGTTTATTTTGTGATCCTAAACGAGCCAAGGCTCGACTCAAGCTCATTTATGGTTTTTGAGCTCGTTTAATTGTTTATCATACATTCATGTATAATCCAAGATCACATGTCAAACATACGAACTTAAAAAGTAAAAGCTCAAATTATAAAATAATAGTTAAAGTTCCAAATTAAAAACTACATAAATAAATAAACAAATCTTCCTCAATGTAACTTCACCACTCGATACAAAACCTTAGATGGCTAGATGATATGTATGTGAATGTATGTTTTGAAATCTGAATTGAAAAAAAAAAGTGAATGTGCCGATTAGAAGGTATTAAGAAAGCTTATTACTTTATTAGTAAAATGTTATATATAAAATAAAAAAATTTATATTGATATATATATATATATATATATATATATATATATATATATATATATATATATATATATATATATATAGACAAAACTTCAAAAATGGTCCATGTGGTTTCCAGAAATATCAAGTTTAGTCCTTAAGTTCAAAAAACCTCACAGATGGTCCCTGTGGTTTTAAAACTTTTAACAAATGGTCATTCCGGTTCACTCCGTTAGCATTTCACCGTTAACTCATTTTTTTAATAAAATATTGCAGGGGTAATTTCGTCATTTCAGTTGTAACATTCTCTCTTTAAAAGAAATTGCATGTTCGATTATATGGTTTCCCCTTTAGCTTTATCAATCCTCGTCTCTCCTCTTCTCCTTTCCACTATTGCTCGACCGACTGTTGCACCCTTCACGACATCGAATCGCTTCTCATTCAAAGATGGTGACTTGCAGGTGTGGGAATGAAGCAACGAAGATCACTTCGTGGACGGATCGTAACCCTGGAAGACAATTTTGGAACTGTAGAAGATGTGGTTTCATTCGATGGTCTGATCCTCCTATGTGTGCTAGGGCATTGGTGGTGATTCCAGGTTTGATAAGATCAAAGAATCGATTGGAAGAAAAGGTCGCCATTGTAACTGCACAATTGTGGAACTACCAACTGATGTTGTTTTGTTCATGGGTGTTTTTTTTGGTATTATTTTAATCTCTAACCTGTGAAGGTTTGGATGGTAATGGAGTTTTGGTTTTTGGTTTGTAACCATTGCAGTTTTTTTTATTTTTTTATTTTTTTTATTTTTTTAATTTTAATCGGATAGGGATTTTTTTGCTTTCAGTTTATGTAGGTTGTTTTGGAATTGGTATTGTTGTATTTGGTTTATGTATCGGATTAATGTGTAATGCAGTGGTATTGGTAATGGTAATGGAATGTTGTTTGTTATAGTTCATTGTTCAATTTCTTGAATTTTTTGAAATGCAATTGTTAAGTGTATTGTAAATGCATCTTAAAGATGGTTTTCATTTGCAATTGAAATGTATAATGTTATTAATTGATCTGTGAAGGGTAGTACACTAAACATATTAATTCATTACCAAAAAGTGAATACACACCATTACATTCAAAGTTATAAAGTTCTTAACACAACCATGAGGCAAAGTTTTCAAAAGACCTACAACACAAGCATTACATGCAAAGTTTTCAAGTTCTTAACACATCTTCAAACAAGTACACATGACTTAAGTTTCTAAATACCTACAACACCAGCATCCTAATAACTACTAAAAATAATTTTCAGCCCCCTCCAACTTCACCACTGCCTCCCTGCCCTTTACATGTTCTGGAATTATGCCCTTTGTTATGACACTTTGAACAAGTGACTGCCAAATATTTCCTGCTCAATCTACCAGCTTAGCTGTTTGGCTCATCAACAACCCTCCTTCTCTTCTTCTTAGGCCTCCCAACCTACACATATTGATATACTATAGTTAAAATTGAATTCATTCCATGTTCATATGTATACTATATATTTGGTGTACTTTAAATACAAACATGTGTCTTATGTTTTGGTGGAAGTAAGTGAATGGGCAGTCACTTTTAGGCCACATTGTACGTCTATTCAATGGATCAATTTTGTTGAAATACATGGCTTTCCATGTTGATAACCTATAGCAAGGATTGACCCATTCATCAACATGTGGGGCATTTTCACCATTTTCAATTTTGTCCCATATAACACAAACAGCATGTCTACGTGGGAAACTTGTAATCTCCCAAAACCTACAACTGCAACTTTGATCATTCAAGTTTACCACATATTGGTCTTGCCATGTGCTTTCCACTTGGTACTTTTCTGTCCCATTGTATTTAGACACATACTTTGATGCATCAGTCTTAATCTTTTCAAACAGTGTAGTTGTAGTAGGGGTTAGAAGTCCTTAACACTTATCTATTTCCTTTTGCACCACACATAACCTCTTCATGAGATACTCTCTAATATACTCTAAGCAAGTGATAATAGGTTTATCCCTACCTTCATCTAGCTTAGAATTGAATACCTGACAAAAGGTTATTCAACAAACAATCAGTATGTGCCCTTCCTAAATAATAGATATTAAGAGAAGACAATTACACATATAGTAAACACACAATTACACATATAGTAAACACACAACAGGGAAGATTAACATTTCTCAATAAAATTCTAGAAACTTACCACTAAAGTAAGATTTAGCCCAAGTGTTTGTTGGGATCTTAGACACCCAAGCATGAGCCTCTGCATTGATCTTCTTCAACTCATCCATTGCTCTGTTAAAATGATTGACTGTTGTCGCTCTACCAAAATCCCAAAGCTGGTCACTTAAGTCTTTTCCTTTCCACTGTTTCTTCATGTTTTCCTGGATATGCCTCAAACAGAACTTGTGTTGTACACTAGGGAATACCTTCTCCATTGCTGGTATTATTCCCTAAACAAAAGTCAATGTATGCAACACCAGTTAACCAAATATATTTAGAAAAGGTAATAAGAAAAAGTTAGGTGATACACACCTTTTGTCTATCTGAAATGAAGGTAAAGTTGGAATTTGGTCCCAGATCCGGATCTTTCCTAACAGTTCCAAAAACCAGGTCCAACTACTTGTTGATTCTGTCTCTACCACTGCATATGCTACAGGGTATATGCCATTGTTTGAGTCCAACCCTACAACAGTTAACACTTGCCCAGGGTAAGGGTCCTTCATGAAAGTACCATCCAGACCTAGAAAATCTCTTAAACCATATTTAAATCCTAACTTCAATGCACCTAAACAGACATATATTCTTCTAAATGTTCTTGTGGTAATAGACAGGGAGGTTTCTAGATACACATCAATCCGACTGTTGTACCAGGATTAGTGTTGAGTAGCTCCAACACATAATCCCTCAAAAACCCATATTGTACTTGTAACACCCGTAAATCCGGGCTAGTCAATTTAGAGGCAATAGGGGTTGAAACGACTTTTTTACAAATGATTATTTAGAATAAATAATTTGAACCAAGTTGTATTATATGTCACAAGGTTTGCGTACATATAAATAACATTAAAATCCGAGTTATAACGAAGAAGTTATGGCCCGT